GATTCTCTTGCCTCAGCCCCCCGAGTAGCTGGGACTATACATAACCCGCCATAACTCCTGGCTATTTTTTTGTTGCAGTTTGACCAGGGCTGGGTTTGAACCTGCCACCTTCTGTATATGGAGCTGGCATCCTACTCACTGAGCCACAGGTGCCACCCTGTTTGTTTGTTTGTTTGTTTTTGAGACAGAGTCTCATTATGTCACCCTTGGTAGAGCATGTGGCATTATAGCTCACAGCAACCTCAAACTCTTGGGCTTAAGTGATGCTCTTGCCTCAGCCTCCCAAGTAGCTGGGACTATAGGTGCCCACCACAAAACATGGGTATTTTTCAGTTGTATTTGGCATTGGTGTTTGGCAAGCCTTTGTTGCAGTTTGGCCAGGGCTGGATTTGAACCCACCAGGTCCGGTGTATGTGGCGGCCCCCACACTGCTGAGCTGTAGGTGCCTAGCTGCAGGTGTTTTGAATTTTACTTGCAGACTGTCTTATGCCATAACCTAGGGAGCTCTTGTCTGAAACACTCCTTCCACACCACCCACCCCATGCTCTGCTGAGGGAATTTCTGCTCCTTCCCCAGGTTTCAGTGTGAACATCACTTCCTCCGGAAGGTCAGTCTGGGCCTCCAGTCAGGTGTCTCCCTAGGATCCAGGTACTTATTTTGCAACACTTGGGGCCGTATAATCACTTCGTAAATGTATGCTTCCATTGCAAACTGTAGAGCTCCACAACGGGAACAATTCCAAATGACTTTAAATCTCAGTAACGTGCCAATATGTCACTTGGGCAAGGTACCCTGAGGGCAAAAATTCGTATTTATAATAATCATGTTGGTGGCTGTGCAGTTGGTACTGTTATGATGAGATTGTTGTGTGTATTTGGGGAACTTGTAATTCTCTCATTTCTGGGGTTGCTGAAAACTATCAGTGTGGGAGAAAGTAAAAATCTCATAGTTTAAATTGGAATTATAGGTAGGAAATCATAATTACTTTTATTTAAAGAAAATCTCGAGGGAGAGGGGCCGGGGGGGAATGGGTGGAGGGAGGGGGATTGGAGGGATCAAGGGTACGAGTGAATCTTTCTAAGAGTAGAATATGAACATTTTAACACAATAACTAAGAAAATGACATGAAGGCTATGTTAACCAGTTTGATGGAAGTGTTTC